GAACCTAAACAACATTCCTAGGCTTTGTTGTTGTTGTACTATTATGAAGCTAAACAACTAACCCGAAGACTTGATCAAACAAACATGCTAGGTAGTGGGAACAAGCAAAACTAAGATGAATTTTGCTAAAGATTTCGAGCTCACCACTAAAACTAAAAATATCTTGTTGACAGCTACCAATTTGCCATTTCGATTCCCCACCCCCCCCACCCCCCCCCCCCAAAAAAAAAAAGACAAAAGACAAAAGACAAAAGCCAACGCTGCTAACATTTGCAGAAGTATACGAAGATCCAAAATAATGAAAAATAAAACAAATCTTGTTTTAGCCAATAAAAATAATCAGAAACTTAGAACGACATAAAAAGTAGAAAAACCGACATAGTAAGGCAAAAACCAAATATCTAAATTTCAAACATAAACATATTATTGTAAACTCTTGAACAATCCAAACGTCCAATTCACCAAATTGATCAAATGCTGCAGAGATTATGAAGAAGAAAGTGGCCACCAGAAAATAGACTGAAATCTAAATAAACAATTAAATATGCAAGAGAACTGAAAACCTGCGACAATAAAAATGAGAGAAGTTGAGAAAAAAAATGATAAACACAAATCCACCTAAAGCAGCGGTAAAAATGGAAATCAAACTAGTTAAAAAATGGAGATCATTTTATGGGGAAAATACACTTTGCGTCCTTTAAGTATGTGGAATTAAAACTTCAGAAAATTGAAGTTCAAACTGTACCAAATGCTATTGCAAACTTTCGTAAAATGTGGAAGCAGTAATGCCCTGTAAAATTGAACACATTTTCTCTTGTAATAGGAATGTATAAAATCAGTAAAAATGCTACCTAGAGGCTTACCCCAAGCCCAAAACAAAATATATAGCCAGATAATTTTTTTAACGCACCAAAGACCTGGCCCTAAATTCTCAGTCATGGGGATCAAGTCCTTCGAGAATTCAATTCCCAATAAAAAACTTCAGTCAACACATAAATTAGTAAAATAAGACTAGAATTGAACAAAAGAAAAGGGGCACTGAGCTTGAAGAGAAATCACAAATCAAGATCAATGGTTCATTGACAAAGCAGGTATTTTATGCATATACCCGCAATTCTTCAGAAGTTTAGAGAGATATGTAAAAGGGGGAATTACAATCAAGTTCCACAGAAGAGAAATAATTACCAAAAGGTCCCAACAACAACCTCAACAGCCTATAATGACAAGTTCTATAGTGAGAATGACAACCTCTAGGACTTGTTTTTCAATTATTTTTCTTACTTGAGACCTCATTGTAATTCTCCCTATTTAAAACAACTCTGAACTTTGTGCGCTCTCATAATTCAGGTAGACTCCAGGACAAAGGACAACAACACAGCATTGACACAGACACCCTAACCAAACAAGATCTTAAGACCCCACACGTAGTTCAAAGCAGGGTCGCCTAATTTGCCCTTCTTTCCCATGAGTCCCATTCCATTCTACAACACAAAAAAATTGAGACAAACCCAACCTCTTATAGGTCCAATCATCAAAAGAACAAGTCAGGGCGCATCACGTGGGTCAAAGGCACAAATGAATAAAGCATTTCACATGCAGCACACCAAAAAAAAAAGGGAGCATTGCTGTCTGGCACTACCACAGACCATTGAGTAAGAACTACGCTTAAACCACAACCAACAGTCAGAAAAACCAAGGGAGCACGGCACACGATAATCACTGATCTAAAAAGGCATCAAAACTATTCCCTGAGGCACACCACACAGGCCAAAACCCATATTCCTAGTTTGTCCAACCATATCTGATAATACCTAAACAAACTCAAACCCCCCATTCTTCATACTTTCTTCTAATTTCAAGCCAACCGTTGAAAGACATGTAAAACTTAGATAAGAATAGAAATATGGCGAATGGAGAGGCTTGCGCACAGGCAAAAGTCTCACACTCATTGTCGCAGCCCTTCTCCCCTTTATCTATAATAACATCAACATATAGATTAACTACAATATAAACTCCAAAAAGATAATGATAAAGAATAACTAACACTTCTAACTAATAGTAACCTCTTTCAGACAAGACAATATTAAACTTAGTAGAGAATCTGCAGCCATTGGGAGTTCTGCTTAAATAGGCATTTCAACAAGACAAAATATTTTCTATAGAGTAACAATCAGGAAAAGATCCAATATTCTGTCACCTTATAATCAACCAGTAAAACCCATAGGTAAAATAGCAAAATCAACTCGGTCCTCTAACCATAATAATCTCTAAAAAATATATCACAGGCCTATAAAGCCCACTGTAAGTCTCAACGAGAAGATCTCACATGCCAACAAAAGCACCTACTTTCTTTGTGCGTTAGACCAGCCAAGTTTATAATTTCACAACTGTTGCTGCATATTTAAATTAAACTCACAGTACACACCTAACTACGATACTCTAATATAAAACCCCAGTTTTGAGAGACCAAGTGATTCGTGGTCTCAGTTAAAACAAAGCTATTTGAGAAAATAGTTTAAAAAGCTTCTTCTTCTTTTTTTCACAAGCGAAACAACACATCACCGTATCAGCAACGATAGAGATTGCACATAACCATAAATTCTTACCAAAATTGCCAACTTTGGCCTTAAGCATCCCCGATCAACCCTATAGTAATCCTCAGTGAACACAAAAACCTTATGCAAACCTTATTTTATTGACACATAACCTACTATTTAAACAGAACCCAAGGCGGGGTACCTTCCAAATGTAAATTAAAAGCAATTAGCATCTGACAAATCCGGGAACCCACATCAACAACCCAAAGCGAGCATTAATACATGAGAAAAGCATACCAAATATAAGCAAAGATTTAAGGGTAGAATCAGTAAAGCAAGTGGGGAAAGAGCGCGAACCATATTCAGTACGAGGTCGTTTAAGCACGGCAGAGGACGGGAGCATCGCCGGCTGCATCGCCTGCTGCATCGCCTGCTGCCGATTCCAGTAGCCGTCCGTCATCGTGAAAGATTAGCGAAATCAGGAATCCCAAATTGGGGAAAGAAGACTGAATTGGACTTCGATTTGAAAGATTGCCAAAACCCTAAACTTTCTTCCTTTTCTGGGTTAGTCACCCTCACCCCCCTCGCGCTTCCTCGTTTCGTTCCTTAGTTTCGTAATCACCCTTTTTATTTTTTTTTCTTTTGGCCAAATTCTGAATTAACTGGCACTATCCTAATATCCTCTTTTTATACAGTACTATCCTAATGTCCTTCTGCTGAATATAAATCTAAAAATCATGTAATTAAATATAATTAGATTTTTTTTACCAAAATAATTATATGGACTATATATAAAATAAATTTGAATTTATATAGTTTTATTTCAAGCTGATCTCATTAAATCAATATTTATCAAAATATTAGTGTTACATGATTTTTTTTTTGTTTGCCTTCAACATGATTTACTAAATTTAATGACTCTTAAATTTAGTATAGGAAGGAATAATATTTTTGTTGCGTTATTTTTTTGGTACATATTTTTTTTGTTGCATATTAATTCCTTTACAAAAGGACAATGGGAGGAAATACTTGGACTTCACCCAATTGTATATTGGGCTCCGGCCCATTGTCATGGCCGATAAAGGGTGAACGTGTACCCAATTTCATTTTTTGAACCCAAGTGAGTTTGATATTGGAAGAGCTTGAACCCATTGAAGCATGAAGCCAATTGACGCATGATGGCCTCATTTTTATGCATTGAATTCCACTAAAATAAAAAAGAAAAAGAAAAGAGCATAAATCAACAAAGACCAGTAAATAGTCAATCTTTCGCCAAAAAGCACAAGAATCTGCTCTGGATTGATAGGCGTTGCTAAAACTTGACTCATTTTTTCTCGTTTTACTTTGATTTATGCATTATATAAATATGTGTTTATTTTAAAAATAAAATTATAATAATCTCTTGTTAGAGTTTAGCATGAACTTATGTCGTGTGCATATTAATTAAAGACAAATCGCTGTCGTAATGTTAGGTAGACAATTTTCTTCTTTGACAAAAACTAATTATTTCAGAGGCTCTTATACTATTGAGTAAAGTAAGCTATCTTTAGAGTATAAATTACATTATCAGCTAAGTCTCTGTTAACTTTTAAGTAAATACGATTTCAAAATAACATATAAGATAAGTACATATTGCATTTACTTCTTAAAATAATTCTTACACTTAATTTATTTTAAGATAAATAAAACTAGCTAGTCAAGCACGCATAAATATGCTAAAAGAATTTAACTAAGAAAGTGAAACTCTCTGTCTCATTTTTTATATTCAATTGATTATATGACTCGCGTCATTTGACAGACTACGTCCATTTTGACAATTTTTTATATACTCATACAAAGACTGAATTAAAAACGTCACATAATCAATCAAATAATGAATGCATACGTAAATATATTTATTTCCAATGGACCCAGTCTGATAGCCTAAAATTCTCCTCTCCTTCCCACGTTCCATTCATTAATGCTGCTCTATGTTCATCCTTTCATGGATCCTCCATCCACAAGCCACTCTTAGATACTGTTTGGTATGAAATATTGAAAATAAGGGATAGAGATTGAGATTGAGATTAAGATTGAGAAAATAGTATTTAGCACGAGAGATATTGCTTGTTACATAGAATTAAACAAACCCATATATATATGGGATTAATGAATATCATGGAGAAAAATGATATTCCCAATCCTATTTTTACAGATTTGCCTAATCCTATATAACAAACAATTACCCATGCTAAAGACTTTTTTACTTATTTTTGCCAATTGCAATCATAGTCTCTATCCTTCATTTTCAATGTTTCGTATCAAATGGGATTTAGGAGATTCTACCCACACTACACATTCCTTGTTTCATTTATTAAGCATATCACAACTTGAGTCGAACCCACTCAAAGTATTATTTTCACAGTACAACAAAGTTGAAGGAATTTAATTTCCCTCTCATCACACCTGAGATAGCTAATATAGCTATATTGCGGATGTGGATTCTCCCACCGCCATTGATATGCCAGAGGCGACATTATTGTCACGAATTGCTTTGAAAAACATATATGCGAATGGGGTTTCGCTTCTATCCATTGAGACAACCATACGGTTCTTACCATCGCTATCGGTCCTATAAGTAACATATCCACACGAATCTTTTGAATAACAGAAGGCCAAAACATAATACTTAGTAGACTCATATGGCTTGATATAGAAATAACCACTACGAGGAAGGCTGAACTCTTCGAATTTGCCAACCATGATAGGATCTGTGTCGTTGAAGGCAGGCTGCGTTGCGACGACCCAATCAGGCGTGTTCGTGCATGATGCGTTTGAAGGCAAATTAGTGAAGGATATGTTTAAAGGATAGTCGTTTGTGATGTAATTGAGAGGAAATGGCGTCGAAATTTTTGTTGGCCAGCTTATATCCTGGAGAGCTACAACGACGGCGATTGAGCAGGAGGAACTATTTTCATTTGAGCTAATGGAAGCTCCCACAATTGCTTCAATAGCACCAGGCAGTGGCTGTATGCGGTAATGGCCTCCATTCTTTAGAATGTCACCGTCTGTGTCATATATGAACTCAGCTCCGGTGAACCCGAAGAAGAAGAAGAAGAAGAAGAAAAAGAATGCAGCAAGTGCATTAGTGATCTGCATTGTTCGGCTATTAGGGCTATGGATGACTTTATGGTTTGGTTTTGGATGTGGTGAGGAATTGAGACAAGTTGGGCCATTTATTTATAGAGATAACCAAGTAGGATAAGGCATGTTCTGTCCTCAAAATATCAACCCTTGGTTATGATTTCCCTGTTATCTAGCTACTTGGTTCCCTCCTCTTTTACGGAGTTTGCTGCTTCGATATGAATCACTGAAATTATAATATCCTCCATAAAAACGTGTTGGTTTGTTGATAATACTACCTCCAGTCTTTATTTTGATTATAATTATAAGACCCCAATCTATTTTATTTCTCATATTTATGCATTCTTTTCTAAAATAGTCTTTCTAATAATAGTAGTTTTAGCTAATAAATTTGATTAGCAAGGATATGTTAGGAAATACAGTACCTATTTATTACAAATAACTAACTTAACTTATTTTCTTAATTTCTTCAAATTAGTCAACTAGTTTTTATAATTAGGGCCCGAAGTAGTAACATTTAACGCATTGTTTGCAAACCTTTGGAAATTAATTTAGAAAGAATGATATTTAAGTCTCAAGAAAGAAATTTAATTACATGATAACTCGTTAAAAACTACACCATCGCCTGCCCTCTCTGCAGAGCAAGAATTCAAAAATTTAATTTACAGTCTTAACTCTCATGTGAGCTCAGGAAGCAACAATAATTGAAGGGACCTTATGAGAATGACGACGAGTGGAGTTAATGAACATGACAAAAACATAGCAGGCTGCCAAGGGCAAGAAAGGGAAAGGACAAGCGAAGGAGATTAACCATTTTCTTGTGGGAAATTGACAAAAACGACAAAATATAATGGGGGCTAAGATTTAATTAGAAGAATAATACTGGGGGCTCAATCCTTTGATGGTATAAAAAATTTTGGAGAGCCAAGGGATAGTTGATTGCCAATAGATATCATGAAATGGGCAAAAATTTTATAAGTCTTTCTCTAATATTTATAAGTCAAATTTAAAATTTTTGAGTTACGTCCTACGCATATTTTCACACAAATTCTTTTTAAAAAATGCATAAGTAATTAATTTAAAATTTTCACAAGTCCTGATAAGTAGCAGCGTGGAAATATATATTCACGCAGACGCACACATATATATCTCACGAATTCAGACTATTTTTTAAATTAATATTGATTTTACTAAGTTATAACTTCTGATCCAAAAAGGAATGAATGGAAAAAGCAGCATGTCGTATCAATAGAGAATTCTAAGAATATTTCATTGTTATTGGATCGGGCCAAAATCCGTGTTTGATTCCATCTTGCTAAGGATATGACATTAGATAAACAAGACCAAGGTCTGAGGAAGATTAAAGATTTCCAAAATTGCAAATGAATCTGAAGAGATGTCAACAAATATTGATTATAAACAATATTACAGTAGTAACGGACGATTTTCCACACTTTTTCATATCACTCCCTCTTATCTTGAATATAGGAGCTAAGCTAATTTGTAAAACTTAACATGAAATTAGTTAAATTAGTTGTCTATTAAAAATGTGTATTCGTTTTTTTAAAATATCTTTTTATAATTACATGCCTTGGAATTATATATCTTTAATAAGAATCCTTTGACATGCAATTAACATGAATAGTTTGAAAAAATTATAAATTTACAAGACAGCCAACACATAACGCAAGGCCAGCAGAGTGATAGGATTAATGTGTTTGATTAATTTCATCATGTCGTCTCTTTCAGTGCCTTTCGTTACTAAATGGAATCAATGCTAGGAGTAAAAAATTACTACCAAAAGAAGACAAAACGTGTTCAATGTGTCTCTGAATCACTTGGAACCGTTTAGTGGTTCCCCGATGATTCAATTTTTTTTTTAATGAAGAAATTATGTTTAATATATACAAAATCTAAAACACAGACAACTTAAACTTTTAGAAAATAATTTTTTATTTAAAAAGTATTAATTAAAAATTTTAGATAAACATTGAAATTGTATCTAGATAATGAATAACAAATATATCAACGCCGACAACACAGTAATGAGTATCATTGTGCTCATCCTTATTATAAGCTGGTTTCAAATCACTTGGCAAGAGATAAAAAGAATATAAAGAAATTATAACCTTTTAATTAAATTCAGAGACGAAGGCTTTTATTTCTTTTAGTATATATCTTCTTTGAATATACTCTGTGGATAAAATCTACTACAATCAACAGTTCGAATCATTTCACATTGTGAATATGGAGTTTTTCTTTTTTTTCCACCGACTATATCGGCTCAATCGTCAAGTTTATTCTATGTTCTAAATTTAAAAGGCAAAAAAAGTTCCATGAAAACTCATTATTCAACATTTTAGGATATTTTTTGAGATACATTCAATACTTTAAAGTATTTTAAGGTGCAGTTTTCCTTCTAATATATTAAAAATGATCAATCTTGCAAATGAATAGCATTTCACATGCAGCGCACGACAAAAAATGGGCAATGCTGCCTGGCACGAGCCCCGACCATTGAGTAAGAACTATGCTTGAGCCACAACCAAAAGTCAGATAATCACTGATCCAAAACGCAAGAAATAGTTGGGCCCCACCTAATTATATATTGGGCTCAGGCCCCTTGTCACGGCCCATTATGTATTCTCCAGAATCTAGGAACATTTGAACAATAATAGCGGGTGAGCGGATGCCCAATTCCTTTTTGCTTTTTTGGAACCCAAGGGACTTTGATATTGGAAGAGGTTGAATCCATTGGAGCATGAAAGTAATTTAACTTATTGAAGTGGTCTCATCGTTATGTATTGAATTGCCGGGGCCTCGGAAAGAAAAATTAATTTGTTCATACCTATGTATTGATATCTCATAAAGTCAGTTTCAGCATATTTCATATAGACTAAAGAAAAACTTTGAATTTTATTAACTCTCATTTAAAATTCAATAATTTTTTTTAATTTTATCTTTATTTAATATATATTATACCTAATGTAAACAAAGTTAACACACTAATAAATGAGGGATAAAATTGTACATCCATACAAAAAATTTCTCTTAATATCTTATAAATAGAATTAGAGTAGTATCATCTTGAAGTACCTACACATTAATCACATATCTGCCTTTGTGTTTGCTAATGAGGCTAAACATAGTTACATTGGCAAGTAATGTTTAAAAAAGGAACAATTAATCTGACAAGATAAGGATAGGGGGAAAGTAGAGGGAGACATGGGAAGCCTGGGTTCTCAAATATGTGGAGAGAGTGGTGCATGCCCTAAAGAGGAAGAGGCTATTGATTGCACCAACAAAACCTAGAAAGCATTAAATACAACAAAATCTAACCCCCCCTTCTCTCTCTTCTTCAATCTGTCTCCAATCTCTGTCTCTCTGCCCTCTCTCTTCTTAACTGCAAGAGGGCCCTCATTCAAACCATATTCAGTGGCCTTCTCTGTCCCACCACCCCCATCCTTTCATTTCTGCCTCTGCACATATATCCTTAGCAAAGTCACGCTTCCTCCTCACATGACAGTTAGTTATCCACAATGAAACTACCATGCTGTTTCATTTATCTCATTTTAACTAATTTTGTACTAGAAGCATTTTTTTTTATATAAATGCAAGTGATTTTTTGAGGGGTGCCCAAATACCCATCTACGTGTGTGCGGCTTTGTGTTCACTTTGTTTCTCTTATATTCTTATCCCTAGAAAGATAATAACAACTTTCTGAAAAAATATAGTTAAGTGTGACAGTAGATATTAAAAATACAAAATCTACTTGCAAATCATGCTTTTTGTTTATTGCCCAGAATATCCTTCCATCCGAAAGGTAAGAGGTTAATCTCTCGGGGTACTGCTAGGTGCTATAACGGGGACTCTTCCCAAGGGTGTTTTTTCCATACATACCGCCTCAAAGATCAAATCCAGGACATGATGTTTAAGGTGCTCAAGTCCCTTTCACTTGGACTAATACTTGTTGGTGCAAATCATGCTATTTTTTATATGGTTATTTGATTGAGTTAGATTTAAGTATAATCTAACCCAAGCAAAAGTATTTCTTTCGAAAGCGTTTTCTATATTCATATAAACTCAAATTCAAAATTGCATGTTTATAAGCTGTGAAAGCCACTCTTGTAAGCAGCAACAGTACTTGCAAATTATACTCTAACAAAATATACAGACTACACAACAGTTGTTGGAAATTCTTGGAATTGGTTCAATAATTTATCAAGTTAAAATTCTTATTTTAGTATTAACTTGACAAATTATTCTCTATATTTATGCATAAATATAGGGGTATGACTTGACGCTTGTAGATGGACACTGACAAAAAACTGAATCCAAGAAGTTGGCTAATTTATTGGCTTGAATTGAGAATAATAATAGTAAACAAATTTTGGGAAAAGGCACATGTTATTAGAAGTGAGAAGAGAGAGGCAATTGTGTGACATTAGCCGATTGACAAGGCATATGAAATTAACTGTGAGGATAATCTAAATCAATGGAGGGACGACATTTCCATGTTACCCAGTGAGACTTAGCACACACACACACACATATATATATCTATCAGTTTGAGACTTTGGAGTTCTTAATTAATTAAGTCGGCCATTCATTTCTCTATTGCCCCACATCCTCACCTAACCACACAACGCTCCCCACTTTCATCTGCTCCCGACACACACACACACACACACACACACAATACTATTCCATTTTTTATTTATCTGTAATATATATATTTATATATATGTATATGACAAGTGTGGATACATATCTGGTGAATTTGTATGTACCACATGGATAAGAATTTGCAAACAATATAGATTTCTACGTAAGCCATAAGCATTGATTGATTAATTACTCTGTATAAGAGAATGTTCATCAGCAATACGGCTCAATATTTTATTCTTTTTTCCATCAAAATGCTCTCTAATTACAGTACTTTTTTTTTTGTAGAATTATTTACTAATACTAAGGAAGGTACTTTAATTGAAAGTTTTAAAAATAAACTAAAGTGT